TCCAATCGAACGTAATTTTCACACATCCAGTACTTTTGACTGTTTTGCAGTACGCTCGAGCGGGTAAGTCTACGCTTGAGTGGAAAACCTTTGTCTGCATGTCTGCTCGAGCGGAGTAACCGACGCTCGAGCGGGACCCTTATTTTCTGAAAATTCTGAAAATGCTTTTAAAGTGCATCTTTGCATCCTCATTTCATCCTAGACATTCTTAGGCCTAGTTTAAGGCATCTTAATGAGGATATAGATGTAGAACCGCACCGAGTCTAAGTAGGGACTAAGTCTTTGTTTCCCGAATGTGAACTTGGTGTGTGTTCATCTTGTAAACTGTGTAGGGTTGGCATCTGAGGACGCGCTTTAGCTTAACTGTTGCCCAGAACTCTATGAGTAACAACTGTGTAAAGATATGTTCAAATATGATTATCTTTTGAACAATTGAACTGTACTGTTTTCTGAAATGATACTATTACTGAATGAATGATGTCCTAATTGTGAACTGTATTATGGCATCCTTAGCAACCTACTGTTACTGTATTGTACTGCTACTGTCACAGAGATCTCTGTCAGTTCCCATGTTGGAACCACTACTGTTTACTGATATGATGGCCATCAACTGACTGTTCGGTCTGATAAGACCTACTGTACTGTTTTGCTACTAGATGTACCACATATGACTGTAATAACTGAATAACTGATATACTGATTGAAATGATTGTTTTCAGTACTGTAAGGACATTCATTCTTAACCTCTTTACGCATTATGTTATTCACTGGGCTTTAACTCGATGTTTATATATATATATAGGTGTTCAGGCACCAGACTAGAGCTAGGAGCGTGGGTTAGACTCCCCTTTTTGTCAAGCCAACCACTGTGCCTCACTGCGAGGTTCCGAGCCTGCCAAGCTATGGCTTAGGGGTGTTTTAATTTCCTCCGTCTGTCCAATAGGTTCCGAGTCCGATAGTCTTTCACTAAGGAAAGTTCAAAGCCAAAAGCTACCTATCCCCATTCAGAATATTTCCAATTGAATTCTCTTTGAGTTTGCATTGAGTCTTGCATACTTTTCCGTCATTTCATTCCTGTGGGGGATTGTTGAAAAAATGGTTTGGAAACCATTAATAGTTGAATGAGAATTTGACTCCAAAATGCACAATTTGAGAATGGTTTTAAGACAATATTTATTTAATATAAAATTTAATTTTATTTAAATAAATTTGTTAATTTTTTGGGTCAAATTTGAACATGATTTGATTCAGAATTCGAATTCTTTTTAAAAGAACAATCATGTCTTTTCTGGTTGCACCTTTTCATGGAAAAGAGGTGACTCTTTTGAAAAGTCACCATGACCATTCGAAGAAGCACCAATTCATCTATATAAACAGGCCCCATTACATTATTTTTCCATTGGAATTCATCTTGTGTTTCTTTTCTTCTGCACTCTGTCTTTTCTGTAAGAGAATTCTGTACAGTAAGGTTCACTAGACTTGCCATGGTAGTGCTGCTTTTGCAAGGTTCGATCGTTGTATCCTGGGAGACGAACGTCCAATAAAAACTCGTGAGCACCATAGCAAGGGACAAATTTGTTTTAAGGAAAATTGTTTCCAACACAAGTCTCGATCAAATTGTTTTTCGTTCCCAGATTTTTACAATCTGTTTGTAAGTTATCTACTTCTTTATAAGTATTTTTTTTTGGTTCTCGGTATATGGTTTGGTTTGGTTTAACCCAAACAATTTACGTTAAATTCAACTTATATTTTTTTAATATAATTTGATAATATATTTGGTGCAATTATTGCATGTTACAAGTGTACACATAAGATTTGTTCCTACAGAAATAAAAATGATTGTTAACATGAAACTCATTTTTCCTTTTTGATAAAGAGAGAGAAGTGTGTGTTAAAACCCCACTGATTATTAAAGAGAACCTTCACCCAATTAATGCTAACATTAATTAAGAGCACTCTTCAACACTAAAAATATATACGAATCTATTTTCATGTTTGGTGAGTAAAAATATGACCATTGCTGATTAAAGAGAGCCTCAACCCATTTGACTAAGATGAAATAAAAATCAATATAACATCAACCCAATTAATGTTAACATTATCATAGAGTTTTTTTTTTTCGAATCTCAACCCATTAAGATGAAATAAAAATGATTGTTAACATGAAATCCATTTTTCCTTAACCCTCATTTGAACATGAAACCTTTTTTCCTTAACTCCCATTTGATAGAAAGAGAAAAGTGGGTGTTAAAACCCCATTGATTATTAAAGAGAATCTCAACCTAGTTAATGTTAACATTAACTCAAAGTTTTTTGGAACCTCAACCCATTAAAATGAAATAAAAATGATTGTTGTGTGTGTCAATTTCCGACCACACTGCCAAACAGGTACTCAGCTGGAGAACACCGACAAAATAGATTAAGCCCGAACGACTTGTCACAGAAAGATAAGATTTCGGCGGTGGTTCGTCTACCCGAGGGCACTCTAACGATCAAGTCAGTTATCTCTTAAAGATAGCAAAAGTGCTTAATTCACTATTCAAAATACAAAAGCGTACCTTAGACCCACGAGGGTGCCTTTCTTTTATAGCCAATCACTGACCTAATCCCAATAGAAGCCTAACTTCAATGGACTCTAGCTCAATGCTAATCATGGACTCCCAGTTAGATTGGGATAAACTCTCTAAGAGTCTTATCTTTATCCAAACTGAAGTCCTCTCTCACTCTAGGACTTTTGTCCCTTATCCGCTTATCCCGGATTCTGGTATCTTCGCAGATTACCTCGGCCTAGCCAAGATTATGTCGGCGTTATGACCAGGAGACGTGGCACCTCGGCTGACACTTCGGTGCCACCTCGGCAACGTGTTGTCATTCAAAAATTATGTCCCCACAACTGCCCCCTAGGTTCTATTACCTCAGCATCTTGAGGTAATGGAACCTATATCGTTTATTCCATTTAGCACGTCAGCTAAGCTCGCTTTGTCCTTCATTACCGAGGTCATAATTCGTCGGCTCAACCGACCAAGACTTAGTCTGTTTTCATCAATGCTTTCAAAACCAATAACCAAGTTTGTTCAAGTTTCTCAACCGAGATCGTCCCCCTAGCTGAGGTCCTTCTCCATTAAATCAAGAACTCCAAGAGTTTCAACACGGGTATGAGCTGATATGCACAGTATTTCAACCGTTTTTGCCACGCATCTTTTCCCTACTGAGCCATGCCTAATACGAGCCTTTAAGTCGTATCGCATTTGCATGCGTCGTCTGACAAGCACGTCGTCCTAAGCACACTAATTGCCATTTTTCCGCCATTCTGTGTGTTTGATCAAAATCATCTCTCTCTCTCTCCGTCTTTTCACTTTTGCATCTCTGTTTTTGTTCAAACTTTCTTTCTCTACTCCCAAATCCTCCATTGTTTCAAGCTCTCAAGCTCTGCAACCACTTCGTTCACCTCATCCGGCGAAGCTTTTGCTGCAGTTCTTTGCTCACTACCACCGTCTGATACCGGCGTACTTCACACTGGCCTTATTTTCCTCGGTAAGCCACTGTTCCTCTTATTTTAATTTCTTGTTTCGCTTCAAACGGCTATGCTTATACATTTCCATGGTGTTTTTGTTCACGCCCTTAATTTGTTACTTGTGTGTTGATTTCCACCATTCGTTATCTGTTTCACGATTCTTTTATTGCACAATCTGTTGCTGGTATACACATACACACACATACTTGTTCATTTTGCCACTATTCTTGGCCTTGCTCACATGCACAAATTTTACTCAGTGTTCTTTAAATTCTTGCTCGTCTTCTTGAGTCTGAATCTTGTAATTGTTTCTGTTTTCTTGCTATTTTTCTCCAAATTCTTGCCTTTAATCCTCCTGTTTTAGCAATTCTAGGATTGGGATTTGCCTTAGAACTCCAAACTCTAGGAAAAATTAAAACAAATTCCCTTTAGATCCTCAAAAACCCTTGCCCTAGCATTCGTTTAGATTTTACCAAGGTCCTTTAAACCCTAACAAGCCACTGTCTTCTGAAATCAACACTTTCCCCCTTAAGCCGACGTCATGGGTATGTGGAGGTGGAAGGTAGACACCCCAACTAAGTTAGAATACTTTACACAGGAGTTCTCCATCTCTGCCGATGTTCATCTCAGGTTGGTTGGGGAGGAGAACTCCATCATGCCCAAGGACGACTCTATGCCTTTTCCAGTCGTAGCCTTTGTAGAGTGTGGACTTAGGCTCTCTCTTGATATTCTTTTTCGAGAAGTCCTTCACTATTATAAACTCAACCTAATGCAATTAGCCATTAACTCTTACGGAGTCATCAACGGTATTATCGCCTTAGGTAGTCGAGAAAATGCTAGGGTAACTCTAGCCGACATCCAGTACCGCTACACCATGTGTGGCCTTGAGTAAGAAAAAGGCTACATTTACTACCTTAAGCAGAGGTCGACGAAATACAAGCTCATCGCTGACCTCCCTGATTCCAACAAGGGCGCCGGGGACGATTACTTTATCGTCTTGGGCAACTGGGAGTTTCTTCCAGATGACGACCTTCACCTCTACCCTTTAAGCCGTAAACTGTTCAGAGAGGGAGATGGTAAGAGCCAATTGTTTACTTTTACTTGCTTCTCAAGTCTTTAATACTTTGATATTTTTATATGTTCTAACTTCTATATGTTTTATTTTGTAGTTTTTCCTCAGCCTCCAAAGGACTTCCACAAAAACTTCTATCCCAGCAAGGACTTTAAGAAGCTACTCAACTTGCCTATCAATCAATGCAAGGCTCCTCTGCTCCTAAACTATATCCCGACTTACAAATTCATCTTGCCCGACGTCCCAAAGAAGAGCAAGTCTCCTCCCTCAGCAACAACTCCTGCTACAACTTCATCACCTCAGCTAGATCAAGGATCAACATCTGGTCCTGTCGAACATCCATCAACCTCGGCTCCATAACTAATCCCACATTCTTAGCGCAAACTTTGACGTCGAACCGCAGCCACCGTCGAGATGGGTCGTAAGAAGGCTATAGCAGATGACCTTCTAACCGACATCCCAGACACTGTCACCGTACAACCTTCACCGTCCCAGTCTCAGTCAAAGCCAAAGCCAAAAAGACTGAAGAAAGCTCAACCTAAGGCACTGGTAACTCAGATCGACTCTGAGGATACCTTGCCGATCTCCAAAATATCTAAGGCAGAAAAAAGTGCCTCCGCCGTCGAAAAGAGGCCCGCCGAGGCTGCTCCCTCTGAATCAACTCGGTCAAAGAAGCTGAGGTCAGAGTCTGTGATAACCTCAAGGTCTATGAAATCAGATGCCCTCTGGGCCCCTCAAAACACTATTGAAGACAAGCCAGTCAGAGTCGGCGACAGCGCGACTGACCTTGAAGTCGGCGTTGCCCTTTCTACTGCCTTGCTTCTTCCAAAAGACCTCGAACGCAACGCCGAGGTAAGCGAATATATGAAAACTTCGCTCTGATGTTGCAGCACTCCGTTCAAGTAAGTCCCTAACACTTGGTACTTTTCATTCTCTATTTTTCCATACTTAGAAAATTTCACTAACTTTTGTTTTGTCCATTTCTTCTAGGAGATCCAGCACACCCACTCCTTCGCGATGCAGGCTTTTGACATCAAGAAAGAGTTGGTCAAGAAGACCAAGGAGGCTGCTAGTTTGCTAAGGATTGTCAATATGGCCAAGGCTAAGATGAAGACACTAATGGATTAGGCCAAGGCAACAAAACAGGCCCAAGACGAGGCGGAAGAGAAGGTGGGAGCTGCTGAGGCCGTCGCTAAGGTCCTCGAAGCTAAGAAGAAAGAGGCCGAAGCGAAGACTGCCGAAGCCCAGGCTGAGCTCATTGCTACCTTGGCCACAAAGGAAGCTGAGATCAAGGCGGCAGACGAGAAAGAATATGCCGAAGAGGCAGCCGACGTCCGTGAAGACTACAAGAAGCAAGTAAAGCAGGCATGCAACAAGGGTTTCATCCTGGGTTGGATGGCTGCATTAAAAGAGTTGGCTGTCTCCGAGGATTCACCTCTCCTAGAAAATAGCCGCATTGTCCTGCTATTCCCCCCGACTCCAAGCCAATCCGAGAACGAAGCTGAGTCCGAGGAGGAGGCTGAGGCTGATAAGTTTGAGAAGGCTGTGGATGCTGGGGCCAAGTCCCCAACTCTGAATGAGCAAGTCTTGGACTTGACTCAGGAAGAGGAGGATGAGATTTCAAAAGATGCCTCCCCAGAGAAGACAACATCTAAGGTGCCAATCGCCGAGAAGAGCCTCGATCAAACTCTACAAGAGATCGATGTTGAGCTCGAGGCTGAGAAGGTTGCCGAGAAGTCTTTCCAGCTGTCTTCTGGGGCCGAGACACAGTCTGTCGTCGACGCCGAGTAGTCTTGACCATAAACATTTTCCTTTGTACTTAGTAATTTTCTGAACAATGTTTTCAGTTTTTATAGTTGGCCGACGTGCCGCTTTTGTAATCAGAACAAGTAGTCTTCAATGTCAGGCCGAAGTGCCTTCTTTCCTTATCTGAATGCATTCTTTAATTTTTTCTTTCAATGTGATTGTATGTTTGTATGCTTTACCGCTTCCATACTTAGAATATTTTGCATGTCTTCAAAGTACACCTTAACTATGTAATTTCCTCTGGGTTAAATACCTCGGACAAAACTTTCAATCTTGCTTATCTCGGCCTTGGCTTAACACTTGAAAACATTGTAGAAAATAATTTCACAAGTGCTATATAAAACCTGCCACTTTACTTTTACTTAGCAAGACTTCTATCTTCAAATATCTTCTAAGTCTTGGCAACATGGTAATCTGGGCAAATACGTAGATACTTCTTTCAACATAATCTTGACTTAACTTAAACTTGTAAATTTTTCTTAAAATTTCAACAAGTGTTAAACCAACCTCAGCTTGTAGATTCCAACTCCTAATATCATTCTCCAGCCCTCTGCCCTCTAATGTGAACTTAAGTTTCACTTATGTTCACATTAAGCATGTACTTATGATTTTGTCGCCGAGGTCAGATTCAAACAGAGACTAGCCGAGGTTATTAACCTCGGTTTCTCTGTTAATCTTACTCAAACATTCTTTGTGTCAATCTATGCTTGACTCTGCTGATATGGCAAGTCTAGGTTAATTCAACTTAGTTCAACTCTATTATATGCAAGTATAATTCAACTTTGCCATAAAATAAGTCTAATTTATTCGTCATGTTTTAATCAGAAACATTGCCAACTTAGTTCAACTCTATTATATGCAAGTATAATTCAACTATGCCATATAATAAGTCTAAGTTATTCGTTATGTTTCAATCAGAAACATCGCCAACTTAGTTCAACTCTATTATATGCAAGTATAATTCAACTCTGCCATATAATAAATCTAAGTTATTCGTCATGTTTTAATCAGAAACATCGCCAACTTAGTTCAACTCTATTATATGCAAGTATAATTCAACTCTGCCATATAATAAGTCTAAGTTAAAAATCGAGCTAAAATTTTATTATTACTTCGGCTAATAACAAAAAACTTTAAAAAATAAAAAACTTAATGATAGAAAAACTTCAGGTTGTAAGTATTCCAAGGTCTTGGCAACTCTTTGCCTTCACTGTCTTCAAGCCGATATGCCCCATTGCCTAGGACCGAGATAATTCTATAAGGTCCCTCCCCGTTTGGGCCAAGCTTGCCCTCTGTAGGATCCTTCTTGTTGCCGACGACCTTTCTTAGGACGAGGTCCCTAACTTGGAACTCTCGTGGGTTAACCTTCTTATTATAAGCCCTGACAAGCTGCTGCTGGTATGCCCCTAACTGAATTGCTGCTTTCTCCCTTCTTTCTTCTAGCAGATTTAGATCTCAGGCCAAAAATGCCTTATTGGTCCCATTTTCTACTCCCTGGGTTCTGATCCCTGGGATGCCGACCTCCAGTGGAATAACTACTTCTGTGCCATAAGCCATGGCAAATGGGAATTCCCCAGTTGATCTTCTCGGCGTAGTCCGATATGCCTAGAGTACACTAGGCAACTCATCCACCCATTTTCCCTTTGTTGTTTCTAGCCTCTTTTTGATCCCATCCACAATAACTTTGTTGGCTACTTCTACTTGTTCATTGCTTTGAGGAAAACTTGAAGTGGAATAGTAATTCTTGATCTTGTACTTTGCACAAAAGCTCTTGATTAGCTTACTGTCAAATTGCGTTCCATTGTCTGTTATTATTGCTCTTGGGATCCCAAACCTGGTGATGATGTTCTTCCATATAAAATTTTTTATATCAATATCTCGAATCTTTGCAAGGGGTTCAGCTTCCACCCACTTGATGAAGTAATTTGTTGCTACTAGTAGGTATTTCCTTTGTACGGTTGCCTGAGGCAGCTGTCCAACAAGGTCCATGCCCCATTAGGCGAATGGCCAAGGCCTGGACACTGGGTTCAAATCTGCTGTTGGTTGGTGTATCAAAGGTGCAAAACTCTGACACTTCTCACATTTTCTAACATAGGCTTCGGCATCTTTCTGTATATAGGGCCACCAGTACCCCTGAGTAATGGCCCTATGAGCAAGTGACCTGCCCCCAGTGTGGCTTTCACATACTCCTTCATGTATCTCATACAAGAAGTCTTCAACTTGTGAAGGATGCACACACCTCAAAAGGGGACCAGTAAAAGATCTTCTGTAGAGATGCCCTTCTACTGTCAGACTGAATCTTGCCGACTTCAGCCTGATCTTGTGTGCTTCTTTATGATCATCTAGCAGTTTTCCCTCTTTAAGGAATATTATTATTGCATCCATCCAGCTTGGTCCCATATCCATGCACATTGCTTCATGCTTTGTGTTCACTGGTTCTATACTTGGACCTGACAAGTATTCGATCATTATTGTCCTTGCCTCTCCTGGTTTCATTGCACTAGCCAGGTTGGCCAAGGTATCAGCATGGATGTTGTCATCTCGGCTGACTTGTTGTAGTCGAAAATTTTGGAATAATGCCATCAGTCTGCCCACTTCCTTTACGTAGGCCACCATCCTTTCATCTCGGGCAGCGTATTCGCCTGTTGCCTGGTTAACGATAAGCTAGGAGTCACAGAAGACCATCACCTCGTCGGCTTCCATTGCTGCTGCCAACTTTAATCCTGCTATCAATGCTTCATACTCTGCTTCGTTGTTTGAGGCCTTGAACCCCAAGTGACTGGATTGTTCCAGCATCTGTCCATCTGGCGCTGCTAGCTCTACTTCTGCCCTCGCTCCTTGTCGGTTTGAACTTCCGTCAACAAACAGGCAGAAGGTGTCGCCGACGTAAATACTGCAGGGCCTGAGTTTCTCCTCTTTCCTCTATTTGGCTATCCCCAACTGGGTTTCTCCTTGTTCACTTGGACCTCGGCTTAACGGAGCCCGATGTATGATGGCACCTGGTGTGAACTCGGCCACGATGTCAGCCAAAACTAGGCCTTTGAATGCTATTCTGGGTCTGAATTCCAGGTCATATTGGCCCAACACCATTGCCCATCTAGTTATCCTACCTGTCAGATCTCCCTGCTGCAACATGGACTTCAAAGGGTGCTCAGTTAACACCACAATTTTGTGGGCTTGAAAGTAATGATTCAGCTTCTTGGAAGCCATTACTAAAGCCAGTGTTAGCTTCACCAGGGGTAGGTATTTGGTCTCTACATCAGCTAGGGTTTTACTCACATAGTAAACTGTCTTTTGCTCTCCCATTTCTTCTCTAATTACTACCGCACTCACTGCATGCTCTGAAACTGTCAAGTATAAAAACAACTCCTCTCTAGGTACTAGATTTGAGAGAACTGGAGTTGTGGTCAAATACTTCTTCAAGTCGGCCAAGGTGACTTCGCGCGCTTCTGTCCATAAGAAGTCTGCGGCTTTTTTCACTAAGCTGAAGAAATGTTTACATTTATCAGAGCTTCTGCTTATGAATCTATTCAGGGCTGCAGCCCTTTCAGTCAACATCTGCACTTGCTTTGCCGATGTTGGGCTCTTTAATTTTAAGATGGCCTTGATCTGATCCGGGCTAGCCTCAATGCCCCTTCTGGTAATCAAGTATCCTAAGAACTTACTAGACCCAACTCTAAATGCGCACTTTGATGCATTGAGTCGGAGCCGATATGTTCTAAGGATGTCAAAAACTACCTTTAAGTCTTCCAGATGATCCTCAGGTTCCTTGGTCTTCACGACCATGTCATTTATGTATACCTCCACTGTTTTGCCTATCAGATGTCTGAACATCTTAGTCACCAATCTCTGGTAAGTTGCTCCTGTATTTTTCAACCCAAAGGGCATTACTCTGTAACAATACAGCCCTTTTGGGGTTAAATGCAGTCTTCTCCTCATCTGGGGGGTACATGGCTATCTGATGGTACCCCCTGTAAGCATCCAGGAAGCTCATCATTCCATGTCCTAAGGCTGGTGAACATCTTGGGGAGTGGGAAACTGTCTTTGGGACAAGCCTTGTTCAGGCTGGTAAAGTCCACACAGACCCTCCACTTCCCATTATTTTTCTTCACGACGACCGTGTTTGATAGCCATGTTGGGTAGTTCACCTCTCGAATGGCCCTAGCCTCCAGAAGTTTATCCACTTCCTCTTTTACTGCCTCAACATGCATCAACGCCAGCCTTCTTGCTCGCTGGGTGACAGGTTTAGCCGACCTGTCCACATTCAATTTATGGAAAGTGACTTCGGGGTCAATGCCAGACATCTCGTATAGCGTCCAGGAAAACACCTCAATGTTTGCTCTCAAGAACGCCTCTAGCTCTTTTTCCTCTTCCTCGGCCAAGCCCGAGCCGAGAAGGAAGAAGCGCTCTTCATCCCCTTGCTGGACAAGGATTTTGTTCAGGGCTTCCTCACTCTTCTCGGCTAGCTCTTTGCCGACGTCCTCCAGGACTTCCATGTCCTCATCCTCGATCTCTACTGCTTCTGCTTTTCGTATGTTGCAGGTGGATTTCATTGCTGCCATGGAGCAATTCTTCGCCTGTACCTGATCTCCTCTGACTTCCTTAATTCCCTATTCTGTTGGGAATCATAACAACTGGTGCAATGTTGAGGAAACAACCCCCATTGCATGCAGCCATGGCCTTCCTAGAATAGCATTGTAAGGGGGAGAAGGTATCAATCACTGTGAACTCAGTTTTTATCTTCTTAGTGCCAGCCTGCACCTCCAAACTTATTGCTTTCAGGGGCCACGTCAGCGTTCCATTGAACCCGACCATTGGACCATTGGATTGCTCCAGATCATCTTGATGAAGGCCAAACTCCTTGTAACACCTGACATACATGATGTTACAAGAGCTGTCCTGGTCAATTAAGATGCGCTTCACTTGGCATTCTCCAATCTGGAGGGATATTACCAAGGCATCGTTGTGTGGATGCTGCACCATCT